AAGTTTTTGAGGTACCCTTACTACTCAAATGTTCGAATTTGGGAATAGAGCTAATTTGATGTTATGACCTCTGAAGCAATTTTATGTGATTAACCTGTTGATATACTACAAAGCATTTGTCTTTAGATGGCTCATTATTGATGAAAGTGATCGGCTTTTTGAGGTTGTAGAAGGGCAGGAGAGATGTTTCCGCAGTCAGGTAGATCACTTTAATGGCAGTAGGTAGTTTTAACATGGTTCTAAAATTTCCAGTTGGCCGCCGTTTATAAAGCTTGTGATGGGAAATTTACTAGACGTGCTTTCTTCAGTGCCACATTTTCGTACGAAGTTGAGGAATGGTAGGATTATGATTTGTTCTTAACATTTCCCATAGCATAATATTGATTGTAGGTGTAAAGAGAACCTCAATAACGTGGCGATGGTATGCATTGGAGAAAGGTATTGTTCGTATAATAAATTGTTCACTAACAACATATAAAATTTTATCCAGAAATTCTGCAAATGCGAACGTTAAGCAGGAATTGGTGTTTGCTGGTTCAGAGCAAGGAAAACTTCTCGCTGTTAGAACCCTCTTGCAGACTCAGTTCGATCCACCGGCTTTGATTTTTGTTCAGGTGACCGTTTTTTTACTTTCCTGATATTTTTCATCACCAATATTCTAAATAAAAATTGTGATAAATGTGTAAATCCAGCGTCAGTTGTGTTTTTTAGGCTAAAGAGCGTGCTAGAGAGCTGCTATCAGCTTTGTCTTCGCTTACACCGCCGATACCAGCTGCTTTTATAAGTAGCGAGAAATCGCAAAATGAGGTAAAAGCTTCGGTTTCTCAAATTTTTGTTGTTTTGTTGCGAATTTTTACAGATTCTTTTATTAATTTTCTCTGTTAGCACTTTTTACCCTCCGACATTGATTTTCAAGGCCGCCTGCAAGAATTTTTACAATTTTGAGTCAATATTGAATTTTAATTTTGTTTAGTTAGTGGAATCCTTTTTGTATTGTAAGCATATTTATCTATTCTTCTTTAACAAATTGTTAAATAAGTTGTAGGTTTTACTTATTTTTTTTAACTCTGAGATTCATAGCGACTCTTATATGTTTCATATCAATCAGCTATCAATAACATCTTAATTCTATTCAATTTTATATCTTGATTTCTGTGATTTTATTCTTTTTAGAGGGACCACATAGTTGAATCATTCCGTAACGGTCGACTGTGGGTTCTAATTTGTACTGAATTAATGGGACGAGGTCTTGATTTACGTAATGTTAATCTCGTTATCAACTTTGATCTACCAACGTCTATTATCAGCTATATACATAGGATCGGTAAGTTAATAATAGATTTGAGCGGTATAGGTGGTTAATTTCAACCTTAAGGTCGAACTGGACGTGCAGGCCGTAAAGGTCGTGCCATAACCTATTTTACAGAAGCAGACACAAAATATCTAAGATCAATAGCTACAGTGATACATCAAGCTGGGTTCCAAGTGCCGGAGTACACGCTTAGTTTGAAACCTTTGTCTAGGTGAGGGATTGCCCTTACGTGGTCATATTTTTCCTTCTACTGTTCATGATACATGCATCGAAGTGATTTTATAGAAACGAAAAGAAGGAATTAGTTCGACATGCTCCCAAAAGGAAACACATTGCTTTTATCAAAAAGAAGAAGAAAGGCGACAAGAAGGAAGATAAGGAATCTACAGCTCCTGCTCCAAAGAAAGCCAAACGTGATGAAAAACCCGATAGTCTGAAAACAGAATTGAACGGTACTACCAAGAATAAACCGAAGACTGATGGAAAAATCATTAAGGTTAATAAAGTGGGTATAGCTGATGGTGCTAATCCAGATAATGTCTCTAGAAAAGCGAAGTCAGTGAGAAAGAATAGGTTAGAGAAAGGTAAGGTAAAGAAATTGAATAGTTGAGTACATGTACTGTAGAATTATACGTTGAGAATCGTTGTT